ACAACGGTATAACAATGTATAACACAACGGTATAACAATGTATAACACAACGGTATAACAATGTATAACACAACGGTATAACAATGTATAACACAACGGTATAACAATGTATAACACAACGGTATAACAATGTATAACACAACGGTATAACAATGTATAACACAACGGTATAACAATGTATAACACAACGGTATAACAATGTATAACACAACGGTATAACAATGTATAACACAACGGTATAACAATGTATAACACAACGGTATAACAATGTATAACACAACGGTATAACAATGTATAACACAACGGTATAACAATGTATAACACAACGGTATAACAATGTATAACACAACGGTATAACAATGTATAACACAACGGTATAACAATGTATAACACAACGGTATAACAATGTATAACACAACGGTATAACAATGTATAACACAACGGTATAACAATGTATAACACAACGGTATAACAATGTATAACACAACGGTATAACAATGTATAACACAACGGTATAACAATGTATAACACAACGGTATAACAATGTATAACACAACGGTATAACAATGTATAACACAACGGTATAACAATGTATAACACAACGGTATAACAATGTATAACACAACGGTATAACAATGTATAACACAACGGTATAACAATGTATAACACAACGGTATAACAATGTATAACACAACGGTATAACAATGTATAACACAACGGTATAACAATGTATAACACAACGGTATAACAATGTATAACACAACGGTATAACAATGTATAACACAACGGTATAACAATGTATAACACAACGGTATAACAATGTATAACATAACGGTATAACAATGTATAACACAACGGTATAACAATGTATAACATAACGGTACAACAATGTATAACATAACGGTATTACAATGTATAACACAACGGTATTTCATTAAATAACATAACGGTACATTGTATAACACAACGGTATTTCAATAAATAACATAACGGTACATTGTATAACAATGTTTAACACAACGGTATAACAATGTTTAACACAACGGTATAATAATGTATAACACCACGGTATTACAATGTATAACATAAAAGTGCTACAGTAAAACAAAACGGTATAACAATGTATAACATAACGGCTTTACAATGTATAACATAACGGTATTACATAACGGTATAACATAACGGTATAACATTGTATAGCATAACGGTATAACATAACGGTATAACATTGTATAACATAACGGTATTACAATATATAACTTAAAGGTATTACAATGTATAACATAACGGCTTTACAATGTATAACATAACGGCTTTACAATGTATAACATAAAGGTATTACAATAAAGTACTTCAATGTATATCACAGTATCACAGTGGATTATACCACGGTGACAAGATGTACTATAATCTATATTTTAGCACATCGCACAACCATTAGAGTTTTACCTTTATTTACAAGACTTTCGTCGGTTATAACGAACAAATATTTTGGATTTGTAATTTATCTTTTTTCATTTAAGAAAAGCTCTCAGTATTTAACACGTTCTCCTGCCTACAATGATTCGGTTTAGTTGACCAACGACGACACCAAGAGGTCTTATACAATGACGTTATAAACTTTCGTGGAAACTTGACTATATTACTGATAAAATACGTTTGTTAGTGTGTTCCTCTGAGGAATCTCGTCTTGGTCAATCGGTATTCAGACAGGGCCACGTAGACGTCGGATTAGTCTGGTATGGAATGTGTAACGTTACTTCAGATTTACGTACAAGTTAGATGGCCTGGCCTGTCTTACCAGACAGCCTGTACACATTAGCACACACAAAGACAAAGACAATCTTAGATTTCTCTAGAAAACGATAAAAGTAGAGAAGGTTTCCCCACACAATGTAAATCTTCGCCTATAATCCCTCTCAGTTCCTCCGAATGACGTCAGTCGGCCATCTTTCACAGAAGTGCGGTTTGAATTTTGATTGTGTTTAAACAGCTGTGTTATCCATGCAACTTGTTGATAATACCTGTACGGTCAGCCTTATTATACATAATCTACAGATATAACCTCAATGCTGTATCAATATCGCTTGGTTAACCTCAGATCCGAGACGAAACCTGGGGTTAAATAACAGAAATAAAATCCAAAATATTACCCAACATGCATTGAAGTTCATAAATCAGTTATTGGTTTATTAGAAATATTCTTAACTATTTATCAGCATCATCAGTGCTGGGAATGTTTTATAAGTTTGTATGCCACCATTTTGTTCTCTTTTATTGTTCTTCTCTTCGTTTTAAAAAAAAAAAAAAAAAATTAATATTTAATTTATTGAACGATACATATACCGGTTCACTGTGATAAATAATTTAATGAACATATTTAATAGCCTTATATAACTTCATGACAACCTTTTAAAAAACTTTCCAAAAGACTTAATAATGGAGTCTGTATAATGTTTATCTGTGTGGGTTTTAGAATGTTTTTCCACGTGCGAGCAATGAGAAAATTGTTGCAGCGACAAACCCTGGACACATTATGCGATCAAACGTGTATCCTCTATTTACTCTTACATTATATATTTCTCAATTCATAGAAAGTCAACTAAATATCATACGATCTTCGCAATCCATGGGATCTGAAAAACGTTAACAAACCTAGACGATGTGCACTATTAACCTTAAAAGTATGCAGAAAGATGTTTTTAAACCTTATTATCGTCATTGGCATTTCCATATGCATATAAACTTAAAATGGTGCTGTTATCCCCACAATACTTTTCATAACTACATAATAATTTGTTTATAACAGATTATTTTCTTACGTAGTATCGTTCAACCAGACGCTTGATCACTTGTACGGCGTAGCTTGCGCAGACAACAAGAGTCTGGTTGAACGAGACTATTTTCTTACCCGAATTAACTTTGTTTGGATCCTATTTCCGGTTCAGGACGTCACTTGCCGCAAGCAGACGTTCTTTTTTGATAAAACGTTTCAAAATTGTCAAGTTGTTCCCAAGTTTTTCTTGACAACTCATGATAATGGATTTATCACGCTACCGATAGGTGGTTTATAACAGTATATAGCTGATAACTGCGTTTTTTACATACGTTGTATTTACTGTTTGTGGTACTTGTGATGGTAAAGTTACGTTGGTGATAGTAATAAGGAGTGAGTAATGACAATAGTTCCAACGTGTTGTACAGCAAAAAACCACTTCAAAATGTTCCCTAACATTAACTCATGGTATTCATACAGAAGTGCGTACGTCTATTATTAAAATAGTTCGTCTTATCTTAAAACTGTATCATCGACCTACGATGAAAGAATATGTTACAAGTCAACAAAGACTTAAAATCTAACTTCCGTAATAAAAAACAACAACACAATAACATCGTGGTGAGCCGAGAGATTTTTCTTAAAACATAATGTATGTTGAGTGCTATTTTTATAACTTTGTGTCCATATTTAAAGTATAAACGATTTTAGTTATTATACGGAGTTTCAACCAGTAAATAGACGTCCAATGTACGATTTACATGAACATTCTTTACTATACATGGACTGTCGAATGACCTTCACAATACACGTATAGAAGCATGACCTTCACAATACATGGACTGTCGTATGACCTTCACTCTACATGGACTGTCGTATCACCTTCACTATACATGGACTGTCGTATGACCTTCACTATACATGGACTGTCGTATGACATTCACTATACAAAGGCAGTCGTATGACCTTCACTATACATGGACTGTCGTATCACCTTTACTATACATGGACTGTCGTATGACCTTCACTATACATGGTCTATCGTGTGACCTTCACTTTACAAAGACTGTCGTTTAACCCATACTATGCATGGACTGTCGTATCACCTTTACTATACATGGACTGTCGTATGACCTTCACTATACATGGACTATCGTGTGACCTTCACTATACAAAGGCAGTCGTATGACCTTCACTTTACAAGGACTGTCGTTTAACCCATACTATGCATGGACTGTCGTATCACCTTCACAATACATGGACTGTCGTACCACCTTCAATCTAAAGGACTGTGATATGACCTTCACTGTACAAGGACTGTCGTTTAACCCATACAATACATGGACTGTCGTACCACCTTCAATCTAAAGGACTGTGATATGACCTTCACTGTACAAGGACTGTCGTACGACCTTCATATCACCTTTACTATACAAGGTCTGTCGTATGACCTTCACTTTACAATGCTGTCGTATGACCTTCACTATACATGGACTGTCGTATGACCTTCACTTGATACGGGTTGTCGTAATGACCTTCATTATACAGGGAATGTCGGATGACCTTCATCATGTAATGAATGCTGTAGGTTGTATGACCCAGTATATATGAACTTCGAATGGCTTTGATGCACAGGCCTCATCGTACACCTTAAGTGATATTGGCATTGAAAGTGTTTGGCGTTCACGAGGGATCGATTTCTGATTTTCCTACCAAAAAGCTTTATATATGCCTCTTATAAGTGTCAAATTACAGACAAGTGTTCATTACGTAGAGGTACTTAGATCAGTCATGTTAGCTCGCGAGATCTATGTAATCACACGGTCTGATATGTATGGAATACCCGGAGCCTCCAGGGACGCCGACACCGGACAGTCCAAAAGGAAAGGCTGTGTCAGGAGTGATCCGTTAAATTGATCAGATCTATTTATAGGCCAGCATGACAGCTCATCACAAACCATCTACATATTACGTGCTCAAAATAAATATATACATGAGATATACGACTTTCATTGATACGAAATCAATACCTATGTTGGGGAGATATCAGAAAACACACTGCGCATAGAACCGGTGTTTATATTGCATATTGACCAGAACATGTGTTGAACATCTCTGTCCAGTCTGCTTCTAAATGAGGGACCATCACGAACCGATTAATTTGTGATATCAGAAGTGTAACGGGTCTGACCCCGAACCGCTCCAGGGCGACTATCTAATCAGGTATCGGCCCGTCATTCTGCTCTTCTCACTTTTGTCAGCGTGGAGATGCGTTACATCTCGCACCTTCGCACAGGCGCTGAAGCATTCTGGTCCAAGAAACGCGCGGGAAAAGTGGTATGCATTATCTATCCTGTGTCTATCTCTATCGGTCTGTCTCAAGAGTCTAAATCTTTATGAGGCGTTTTTATTCATCGTGTGGAAAGAAACCTCAAACGGGTAAAACTTATTGCTCCACGGAAACAAATGAGTGTGGTAACACGCTCCTCCTTACTTGAGCATGGTTTACGCCGGGGGACTACTAGTTCTAAGTTGTGTCGTGATGTTGTGTAACGCCGGGTCGATCACGGCCCCAATGCTCCACGAGTTTGAGGAGTACATCGAGTCTGTGATGAAGTGCCGACAGGTGCCCGGACTGACCATTACAATGGTCAAGAACAACAGGGTGTTTTACGCTAAAGGATTTGGATACGCTCAAGTCGAAGACAAAGTGCCAGCAACAAACGATACCAAGTTCTGCATCGGGTCGCTGACCAAAGCTTTCACAAGTACCGTCCTCGCCAAACTGTTGACCACACACACGAGGTAAATATTGACCACGCACACATCTTACCCGCTGACAACACACAGAGTAATTGTTGGTCACATTTACGGGGTGAGTGTTGAAACTAATACGTTAACCTCACACAGTGTTACTAGTGACCCTTACACACAAGCTAACTAATGATTACACACACGGTAACCAATGACCACATCAACCAGGTAACTATTGACTACACACACAAGTTACTATTAAACACACATGCGGTAACTATCAAATACACAACACAAACAAAAGTAACCGCACACAAGGTAACTATATTGATTACACACACAAGGTAACTATATTAACTACACACGCCGTAACCATTGATCACACCAAAAAGGTAAATATTGACTTCACACATACGTTACTAATGACTACAGACACGAGGAAGCTATTAAATACACAAACACAAACAAAATTAACTACGCACAAGGTAAATATTGATTGCACACACAGATTAAATATTAACCACACACACACACACAAGGTAATTATTGAAGTCACACGTAAGGTAAACAATGACTACAAAACAATTATAACTATTCACCATACACACAAAGTAACATTCGACTACACATATACGGTGACTAAAGACCATACACTCAAAGTAACTTTCAATCTAACATAAGGTATATATATTTTGATTACACATGGCAAATACTGACCACTAATAAAAGGTAACAATGACTGCATACGCAACGTTGCTATTGACTACACACACAAGGTAACTATTGACTACACACAATGTAACTATTGACTACACACAATGTAACTCTTGACTACACACAAGGTAACTCTTGACTACACACAAGGTAACTATTGACAACACACAAGGTAACTATTGACTACACACAATGTAACTATTGACTACAAACAAGGTAACTATTGACTACACACAATGTATTTATTGACTACACACATTGTAACTATTGACTACACACAATTTAACTATTGACTACACACAATGTAACTATTGACTACACAGAAGGTAACTATTGACAACACACAATGAAACTATTGACTACACACAAGGTAACTATTGACTACACACAATGTAACTGTTGACTACACACAAGGTAACTATTGACTACACACAATGTAACTGTTTACTACACACAAGGTAACTATTGACTACACTCAAGGTAACTATTGACTACACACAAGGTAAATATTGACAACACACATAATGTAACTATGAACTACACATACAAGGTAAATATTGACTTCACAATGTAACTGTTTACTACACACAATGTAACTATTGACTACACACAAGGTAACTATTGACTACACACAAGGTATATATTGACTACACACACAAAGTAACTATTGACTACAAACAATGTAACTATTGACTACACACAAGGTAACTATTGACTACACACAGGGTATCTATTTACTACACACACAATGTAACTATTGACTACATACAATGTAACTATTGACCACATACAAGGTAACTATAAACTACACACAATGTAACTATTGACTACACTCATAATGTAACTATTGACTACACATACAAGGTAAATATTGACTTCACAATGTAACTGTTTACTACACACAATGTAACTATTGACTACACACAAGGTACCTATTAACTACACACACAATGTAACTATTGCCTACACACAATGATTGACTACACACAATGTAACAATTGACTACACACAATGTAACTATTAACTACACACACAATGTAACTATTAAATACACATACAAGGTAAATATTGTCTTCACAATGTAACTGTTTCCTACACACAATGTAACTATTGACTACATACAAGGTAACTATTGTCTACACACAATGTAACTATTAACTACACATACAAGGTAAATATTGACTTCACAATGTAACTGTTTACTACACACAATGTAACTATTGACTACACACACAATGTAACTATTGACTACACACAATATAACTATTGACTTCACACAAGGTAACTATTGACTACACACACAAAGTAACTATTGACTACACACACAATGTAACTATTGACTACACACAATATAACTATTGACTTCACACAAGGTAACTATTGACTACACACACAAGGTAACTATTGACTACACCCAATGTAACTATTGACTACACACAGAAGGTAACTATTGACTACACACAATGTAATTATTGACTCCACACAATGTAAATATTGACTACACACAATGATTGACACAATGTAACTGTTTACTACACACAATGTAACTATTGACTACACACACAATGTAACTATTGACTACACACAATATAACTATTGACTACACAGAAGGTAACTATTGACTACACACAAGGTAACTATTAACTACACACACAAGGTAACTATTGACTACACACCCAATGTAACTATTGACTACACACACAATGTAATTATGACTACACACAATGTAACTATTGACTACACACACAATGTAATTATGACTACACACAATGTAACTATTGCCTACACACACAATGTAACTATTGACTACACACAATATAACTATTGACTTCACACAAGGTAACTATTGACTACACACAAGGTAACTATTAACTACACACACAATGTAACTATTAAATACACATACAAGGTAAATATTGTCTTCACAATGTAACTGTTTCCTACACACAATGTAACTATTGACTACATACAATGTAACTATTGTCTACACACAATGTAACTATTAACTACACACAAGGTAACTATTGACTACACACAATGTAACTATTGACTACAACACACACAATGTAATTATGACTACACACAATGTAACTATTGCCTACACACACAATGTAACTATTGACTACACACACAATGTAACTATTGACTACACACACAATGTAACTATTGTGTAACTATTGACTACACACAATATAACTATTGACTTCACACAAGGTAACTATTGACTACACACAAGGTAACTATTGACTACACACAAGGTAACTATTGACTACACACAAGGTAACTATTAACTACACACACAAGGTAACTATTGACTACACACCCAATGTAACTATTGACTACACACACAATGTAATTATGACTACACACAATGTAACTATTGCCTACACACACAATGTAACTATTGACTACACACACAATGTAACTATTGACTACACACACAATGTAACTATTGTGTAACTATTGACTACACACAATATAACTATTGACTACACAGAAGGTAACTATTGACTACACACAAGGTAACTATTAACTACACACACAAGGTAACTATTGACTACACACACAATGTAACTATTGACTACACACAATATAACTATTGACTACACAGAAGGTAACTATTGACTACACACAATGTAATTATTGACTACACACAATGTAAATATTGACTACACACAATGATTGACTACACACAATGTAATTATTGACTACACACAATGTAACTATTGACTACACACAAGATAAATATTAACTACACACACAATGTAACTATTAACTACACACAAGGTAACTATCAACTACACACACAATGTAACTATTGCCTACACACAATGATTGACTACACACAATGTAACAATTGACTACACACAATGTAACTATTGACTACACACAATGTTACTATTAACTACACGTAATGTAACTATTAACTTCACACACAAAGTAACTATTAACTACACACAATGTAACTATTAACTACACACACAATGTAACTATTAACTACATACACAATGTAACTATTAACTACACATACAAGGTAAATATTGACTTCACAATGTAACTGTTTACTACGCACAATGTAACTATTGACTCCACACAAGGTAACTATTTACTACACACAATGTAACTATTGACTACATACAAGGTAACTATTGACTACACACAAGGTACCTATTGACTACACACACAAGGTAACTATTGACTACACACAATGTTACTATTGACTACACCCACAATGTAACTATTGACTACCCACAATGTAACTATTGACTACACGCACAATGTAACTATTGACTACGCACAGAAGGTAACTATTGACTAAACACAAGGTACCTATTGACTACACACACAAGGTAACTATCGACTACACACAATGTAACTATTGACAACACACAGAAGGTAACTCTTGACTACACACAATGTAACAATTGACTACACACAATGTAACTATTAACTACACACAATTTAACTATTAACTACACATACAAGGTAAATATTGACTTCACAATGTAACTGTTTACTACGCACAATGTAACTATTGACTACGCACAGAAGGTAACTATTGACTAAACACAAGGTACCTATTGACTACACACACAAGGAAACTATTGAATACACACAATGTAACTATTGATTACACACAAGGTAACTATTGACTACACACTCAATGTAACTATTGACTACACATACAATGTAACTATTGACTACATACAAGGTAACTATTGACTACACACAATATAACTATTGACTTCACACAAGGTAAATATTGACTACACACACAATGTAACTATTGACTACACACAAGGTAACTATTGACTACACACAATGTAACTATTGACTACACGCAAAAACTTATTATTTACTACACTCAAGATAACATTTTACCGCTCATACGTTTAGACTACGCACACATTTCAACTGTCGACCAGGTAAAGTAACTATAGGCCTTACACACAATGTATATAACCGGCCAAAAAACAAGTTTTATGTTATCCCTATTATATATTACAGCCTTATATATAGACAACTTACAGTACAGGTCAACACGTGATAATGGTGGTCAAACAATGAAAACAATTTCATTGTCAAATCTAGCCTTATTTTAATGGTCAAACCAAGCCTTGATTTAAAGAAAAAATCTTTTTGTTTACTATGTACTACACGATGACAAATTGACGTCATGCCGTGTTTTATCCACATACACATAAACACTATTCCAGACACTTATACCCACATTTTGTTCAATGTCACGTCATGCAATTTGTAATACAACTAGACTCCTTGATAGATTCGAATGGAATCGTTGATTGAGATACCGTGATCCAGCAAACTCCGATTCC